ATGTATGTATGTATGTATGCATGCAAGAAATTAAATTCATATACCTATACGTGTGTATATACATCTGTGTATATGTAGAGACACATCGGTACAGAGATGTATGTGTGCACACATACAATACACATAAACAGACATCCGACAGAAGCATGCATACATGCATGCATACCTACCCATATGTGTGTATGTTTATATATGTATCTACACATCCAGTATACACGCACAGACACACACGCACACGTCCACACATTCACTCATACACATGCATATGCGCCTACATACATATATGCATACATCCATGCGCACACACACACACACATACATGTACACATACGTATACATTAACATGCATACTTACATACACGTGCACTCGCACACACATACTTACATGTGCACGTGCATGCATGCATCATGCATACATAGATGCATGCACCCACGTGCACACACACGCACACACATATACAAGCAAGCAAACATACATGCGTATGCTGAAAATCCAGATCTATTGAACTGCTTTTTAAGTTCGGGTACTTGGCAATGGAATCAGAATTGTGAAGGAGAGCCCGATAGTTGCATCTATCCGACGTGCAAGCTTGAACCTGCACACCCGAAAGCAGTCGGAGGCAGGATGGGCTTGCTGATGCACTCCAGGAGTTCTGGAGGGCGCAAAACGTGCTTCAGATCTTTCCTGCCAGCCCTCTTGGAGGGAGTTGTTGTCTGACCGTGTTGAGGCTCCTGGCCACGAACTGCAGCAATCCGAGCGTGGACAAGGAAGCAACGTTCGACACTCTTGCGATGAACTGTGGCATGTCTGGTTTAGAAACAGAATCTTCGACACCATGAGCAAGGAATCAAGCATTCTTGCTTGGGTCTCGGTTTTTACGGTAGCGATTCCCAGTGTCCTGTCTTGAAATTCGCCCTTCTTCAATAGCGGCGGCCTGAAGTATTGGCCCACTGGGCTTGGAGGCGATTCGGATATTTGACACGGATGGTCTTCATCCAACTCTCTGATTGTGAGCACCAGGTTCAATGTTAAACTCGTCGCCCTCAGTGTTCTCATGTGCATACCAGACGCACTGAGGCACTAAGGATCCTGCTGTAGCACTGAAATTTCCAAAGTTGCGCAGGTTCATGCAATAACACGGTATGTTTCAGCTGTGTGTGCGGATTGCGCCCAAACATTTTCCCTTTTGGGCCTTGCTCCTAGCGCTGAGCGTGTCTCATTGCGCGTGGAGATGAGTGGAGCTTTAGCAGACACTTGCTGGCCCTCGAGACAAGAGTGGGGTGTTCCGAGGCATTTGGACTATCTTTGTACGTATAACTTGCATGTTTCAGCTCAGCTGTCTTCTAACCTGGATGAATCCTCAGCAAGCGCACGCTTCCTTGTCAAGCTGAAACAGTCGCGGAAGGTATCCAGGTGGCAATCTATTCTTAAGGCTGTCGTACAATCCTCGGAGATTTCGCGAAGCTGCCAATGAGGTTCTGCATATTCTGTGGTTGTGCGTTTTGCTTCCAGTTTCCTGGCTAGCTTGCCTTTTCCTTGGATCGTGAGGTCTAGGGTCCGGATTCTCTCCGCGACTGCCGCTGGTTTCGGGTTTACGTCTTCGGGTTTCAGAGCTAGTATCACTTTCCCCCAAAGTTCAGGCAGAAAGCATCATCAATTTTCCATTTTCCCTGATCCCCTCTTGTTGATATTGTGGGTGTGCAACACCTGCGTTGAGGGTCAAACAAAGATGGACCTCCCCAGCTGCAGGCTCACTCCCGGTTTTTCCTCTGTATGGGGGCGTTGGGGGGGAAATGTAGGAGGACCAGCCTCCGAGCGTTCGAGCCCTCACAGCTACGCGAAGGTGTTGCGGTTCTCCTCACCACGCTGGTCAACTTGGCGATTCCGGCCGACTCTGCTTCCAAGCAAGCCTATCAGGCGCCACTGTGCGCGAGCTCGATACTTCTGGCTTCTGGGTGTGGGCTTGGGGGGGAAGTCCGACTGCTTGTTCACCACGAGGCTCTCGATGATTGCTGGGGCGTGATCCGCAGCGCCCTGGAGGATTGGGCCACTGCAGAGTGTCCAGAGCCTCAAGTTCTCAAGCCCGATCCGAAGTGTGGTTTGGCAGGAGCTCTATGATCCCAACTTCAAGAAGGTCACTTTCCGCGCCGATCAAGCAAGGGCCCTGCTCAAGAAGGCAGCTTGTGCTCGTCTTGGTGTGACCCTGCTCGCCGCTGTCCTGGCCGCACGAGACGACCCTGTGTAACTGCTGGGATGGTCTCGGCAGGCTCAAGGCATGGGACACGAGGCCGACTTCGAGCCCCGACTTTGGAAGATGCCTTGGCAGTCGAGCCTTTTTGATCGAGTTGTGGAGGACGCCAGCAGTACTCCAGCTTTCACCTTGGCGCCTACGTGCAAGCAGCAGATGTGTGGTGCAGGAGACCCATCACATGGTCGCCACACTCTCTGCCATCGAGACCTCCATGGCGGAGGGTGGCGCCGATGGTGCCGAGTGGCTCGGCCTTTGCTAGGATGCCTAGTGTAGAAACTTCCTGTGAGCGCCGTCCTGCACACGTCCAGCAAAGCAGAAGCCCCGGAAGCTGAGCCAGTGAATTCAGTTTTACTTAGGAAATGCGAGCCAGTACGTTTGCTGACCCAACGCAGCACGCTTTTCAACAAAGGCGGCGTCATTCACGGTGTTCACTGCGGAAGGTTTCGCACTTTCGGTGCCCGTATACATGGAATCATGTAGATCGTTCAACCCCTTTCTGCTCTGAGATCAACCTGGTCGTTTGGGTGTTTGGCATGGCCCACCGGTGAATAGCTTCCGTATGCCTAGTGGTGCTTGAAGGGTGTATGTCAATCATTGATAACGACAAAGTGATAAGGAATATGCACAGGCGGCAATACCATCAACAAGAAGCTCGATGTCGTGCGGAGGCCTTGCCCTTGAAATCAAGATTGAGCCGAGATTGGAAAGGACTTCTTGACCGGCTGCTGTGGTTGTTTCGGGTTTAGGGATTACAGGGATGTTTAGGGTTTAGGGCCGGGGGTGTGCTAACATGTAAAGCTTCTTTACTCAGAGGCAATGATATAGGTTAACACAGCTTGACGGACGCAGAAACATACGCAATCAAGCAACACCAGTCTCTATGTATATCAGCTTAGACATGCTGAAGTCGCCCTGTGCAAACATACAGAAAGTGTTTTTTGACAACTTTTCACTTGGTGGACACGCCTTTTTGCTGTTCGGAGTTGCACTATTTCCTTTCGCTTTGAGTGGCACTTGTGAGTCACATGTGCAAATGTCGGCCGGCTACAAGACCTCGTGAGATTTTCAAGGCAGTGCTCTCCGTCACAAAAAAGGCGTCAGCACGGAACACTGCGTAAGCACGCAAGAAAAGAAAAATCAAAGATAGCTTCTCAACCCATGTTTGATAATCTCATTCGTTCCCGTGGTCTCGTTCCCCCGGCATCGCGCATTCCTTCAGGCTTCTAGGGATCTTCGCGCACGAGACATCGCAAAAGCTGCTCAGACGCATCAAGATGCAAGCAAGGGCCCAGAATTTAGCCTGAAGGGTGACTGTCAGAGCCTGTGGGTGCAAGAGCGAGCGAGATAGAAAACGATGAGACACCTTCATTTACATAGTGCAGAATTACATCGAAAGAGGGAGACATGTCGTTTCGAGGTTTCCGGTCTTGTCAGAGCCTGAAGTCTTCCACACCTTCCGTGATGAGGACTCAGTTACGGAAGATGTGTCTATGACAACGGAACCCGTTGCAAGCTTGCGCGGTTGGGTATGGTTCAGCTCACAACAAGTGGCGCCCTATTCTTGTACTTATGAAGGCAATGCCGGCGCCAACGGTAGCTGAGTTGAGTGTGGAGTGGATTGCAGCCCCGTTGTTAATCGACCGTTTTGGAGGAGTTGCTGGCGGAGCAAGATTTCATCAAGTAGCTCGGCTGCAGTTTGGGTCAGGTCTGCGGAGGCCATAAGCAGCAGCTGGGGACAGGTCCAATAGCATGCAGGAAGCGAGATTCTGTCCACTCTGTCATGGCCTACTGTATATATCATCCATCAGCTAGTTGACTCTAGCCAGCCTCAGCCAGGAACGAGCTGCCGCACTTGTTCGGGAAGGATGCGGCGTTCGCGAAGTCGGTCTGCCATGACCAAATGGCACATATGTGTCCTTGCCGAGAAATTTTATTTTATGAGGCAGGAACTCTTTAGAGAACCCTCGACCCTCGTCGTGCCTCCGTGAACACAATACGCCTCCACAGCTGCGAAGCTGTAGACAACACGTCGTGAGACAGACCAGGCTAAACTGTTGGCCTTCTGTGCCCAAAACCAGAGACGTGGGTGAAATACTCTACTTCGCCAAGATGCTTTGCAGCTGAACATCTAGCTGAGGTCCATGGTTCTGGCAAACGTGAGCCGGATGAAAGTTCTCCTGCGAAGAGTGCAGCACGTGATCTTGCAGAGCGGTTCCTAAGAGTGAGCACTCTGGCGAGAGCATGGGACAACATTTGCAACCTTCCCAATTCGGTTGCACAGCGTTGTCGGCCCAAGGTCAATGCTCTCTAGACTCTAGTCACTCTGGTTGCGAACTGAAGACACTAGAGGCACTGGAGGTTTTCCCTCTGAAGAAGTCCTTCGAAGAAAGGATCCGTAGTTCGAGTTCGGATGTCAGCCAGATTTGCTTGGCAGCATCGGAGAGAGCTGCTCGCCAAAGTCCCATTCCACGTTCATCTCTGCTGCTTTCAGTAGCTCCTCGGACCATGGGATTGAAAACCTTGTCTTTCTGGCACGACATCAAGAAATTCCGAATGCCAACCTGCTGAAAAGGACGGCAGCTTTGCAGCCCCGCACAAGTCGAGAAGAGATAAAGCAACGTGGGTGCAGACACACATGAACTGAACTCGAAGGGAGCTTGAGCCTTTGATGACGTTATCACGAAGTGAGGTTCGAACAGGTCCCTTGGAGTGTTGTTGCGGTCCATCCCGGCTCGGACCTTTTTGGAGGACCCCCGGTTCGAGTGCGGGTCCTCCTTCGGACTACTGGGAGTCAGATGAAGGCCAGCGGGGAAATCGGAAGCAACGGAGGGCTGCGGGCTCAGGGTTTCGGTTCTGTGCGAAGTGCAGGGCACGGGTCTGCTCTTCGTGCCAGAGGGCTGCCCCGGGATTCCATGCGATCTTTCGCTCGCTCGCTCTCTCTCTCTCTCTCTCTTTCTCTCTCTCTCTCTCTCTCTCTCCCCCTCTCTATGTCTTTTGCTCGGCAAAGGGTTGGAGTCTTTTGCGTTTTCGAACGCGGGGCGATGATCAGAGACCCTGGCATTTCAGGGCCGCCCACTCCGGCCTACCAGAAGCCGCGGCGCCCGCGGCGGGTGTCACAGGCGGGTCCGGCCGTGACTTCCGCCGGCACCGGCCAAGGCTCGCGGCTCGGAGCCTGGTGACTAGAGATGAGCAGCTTTGCTTACCCGTGGGAATACAAGGAGGAGTTAACAAAAGCAGCAAGAGCCCAGCTTAAAGTTCCAGCGCTGACATCCCTGAGCCTGCTGGAAGGACTGAGGGAGCGACACTGGTACCAAACACGACTGGCAAGGAATACCGGTCGTGCATGACAAACATCGAACAAGGAAACCATAAGTAAGGCGACGGCAAGAGCAAGAACACGAATACCAACAAGAAGTCACATAGATGAAATGCAATAACCAGAACCGTGACAAGCGCATCACGAGGGACACTAGCCCTGGCAATGACTTCTGCCATGCAACTGGAACTCTCTGAACAATTGGCAAAGCCTAGCAGCTTTGGCATTTGTTACTGAATAGTGCGGAAAGTAGCGCCAATGAAGAAGCAGCAGGTCCCTCACATCTTACCCGTATCGAGGAATTCACAGGAAAGCCAGGACTCCGGTCTTCGAGTCCCCAAGAATTTAAAAGCATACGCGCAGACAACCGAAGCAGCAACAGCAACTGCACCCGTTGTCTCTCCCGAACGGCACAGACCAAATTGAGGTCAAATTAGCTCCTGCTCTCCTATTCTCAAAGCAGCTTGGGCCGCGAGTTTTCAGGAATCCAACGAACTCGGGGAATTGTGTCTTGCAAGGGGCGTTTGAAACAGAGCCCAAAACCGCAGAGGTCATTGCAACTTCAGCTGCTGGATGTCTCCGACAGTGCATGAAGTTTAGGAATAGCTGAACTTGAATCTTGCTCACGCGAATCTTGAGATTCCATTCATCTCCAAGTCTTTCGAAGTTGAGCATCGTAATCCTCACGACACGGTTCAACTCAGCCCACCGAGGATGGTAGTGAGCTTCTCACGGAGACGGCGGCGGAGCCTACGCACCCCGGCAGAAGCTCGAAAGTGATAACAACAAGCATCTTCGGTAGTGAGCCCATGTTCTCAGTACCCTGTGCGAATTTTCCCGAGTGCACGCGGTGTCAGAGAAAGACAGGACTTGATCTCGAGGCCGCAGCAAAGCGAGCGCAAGGCGACAGTGAGGGAGAGCGCCATGGCAGCGGGAGGCAGCGCATCGTCAGTTGCAACACTTCTTGGCAGCTGGGGCTGGGGGATTTTCATTTCCTCGCAGCTCCAGTGAAAACATAGTTTGGCCCCACGGCCTTGCTTTTGCAAACAGTGACACGCTGTGCAGGGCGCATGGGAGCTGGGGAAATGAACATTTTGCAGTTTTCATCCGTTTGTGATGGAGGGGCGTGTGGGGTGCGACAGTTACCAAAGTCAGGAAGAGATTGTTGAATCGCGACATTGAAGACGACGGAGGTGTTGACAGCCGCAGGGCACTCACCACCGGCCTGCAATCCCGATGTCTGGTGGGACTGACTTCGGATTAAGAAGTTGGAATAGGATGCCAACAACAAGGAACCCTGGAAAACAGTATACACTTTCATATTAGGAACAGGTTGCTGCGTCCACACTGCCAGGCGACGAATCTGCTCCCGCAAAGGGGCTCACCCAGACGCCCGAGGCTGGGGCCGTGGGATACTCGCAGAGCCTTTAGACTCGGATTTTGCAGGGTCTCTTCCTTCTGCAGAAGCTCGTGCTCAGCTGCGCAGTGCAATGTATTGTCTGAACCAAGCGAGATAGACATGAAGTGTGGGAACATGAAAAGGAATCGCTGTAACGGCTGACGTAAGATAGCCCTAGATCGCAGCAAGTAGAGTGACAGATCGTATGTGCTTTTGCATGGGCGTGCCAGCGAGATGCTGAGTTGATGTGTCCTTTGTAGCTGAGATGGGCTACTGGGTGCAAGTTGACGCCATCCGTGGACTCCCGAGACTCGGGAAAGGCGGCTATCAAGCGCGGGCCACAGCCCTGAGATCTGCGCAATCGTTTCGCGGAGTAAGATGCAAGCTCTCAGTATGGTGTAAACTGCTGTTGTCACTTGCTGTCTGCTGTATCGGGCTGATGGTTTGAACAGCCTCTGCCTGCCGCAGCTTTCCCCTGCTCCAACGGAGTTTGTCGGGTCTTTCGTAGTTTCGCAAACATGAAGGCTTGTTACGAAGGTGCCCACACCCTTATCTTCGACGAGGGATCCTTGGAACAATTCAGCGATTTTTGTTTTGGAAGGCAGCCGACTTGATGTGTTCTGCTGAGGAGCATGCGACAAGGAACACTTCTGTCGTGTAGGAATATTTTCAAGCAGCCTCGTTGAGGTATCGTGCGGTTTTCAGCAACTGCCGAAGGCTCCGCTCCAGATTTTTTCTTAAATTCTCGCCGTGGTCACCAGTGTCACGAGCCGACTTGGACACCACGACTAGACTAGAGCATGTTGTTGACTTCCCATCGTGCTTGGTAAATGTATATGAAAGGAAGGCCTAAGTCGAAACTTCGAGTGCCCGTTTTTAGGGTTGAGACGCCATGCTGACACCACAGCTTCATTGGCGGGAGAAATTGGAGGGCATCAGGTGGCAAGTTAAGAAAAAGGCGGTGCATATCGTGCGACGCACAAGGAAGCAACTTGCCAATACGCGCGCACACGTATGTGTCTTTATCTGTATCTTTATGTCTTTTTGTCTATGTATCTGTATACCTATATGGAGATCAGTTTCGCGATCGTTGGAACAGACTTGATCTATTTTCTCCGTAGCCATTTTGGCGATAGCCGATCGGGCCATACCGAAAAATCGGCGTGGGAGGTGGAAGTGAATAGGCTCGCTCGATCGCAGCCATGTCGTTCCCTCCCGCTGGCTTCCATCAAGGTCGGCAGATGGCGGCTCCGATGGCCCCACAGTTCGGGTTGCCTCGCCGGCTTGGTCAGCCTGAGAATCCGGGTAACTGGGGACACTACGTTCCAGGCGAGGCAGAGGCTCCCGAGAATCCCGCGGCTCCAGCTGCCGCATCCGGCGATTGGGGCTCTGGAGGCTGGGGTCGCGACGATCGTCGTGGACGTCGTGACCGTGGGGCTCCTGCTGCCCACAACCCCTTCGCTGTTCAGCGGCCTGAGTTCGTTCGCCAGCTCGTGGTCGAGGAAGAGGACGAGACCCAGAACTCGCTCCTCGTCATCGACAACCGCGATGACCGGGTGATCTCCCCGTTCCAGAACTGGCTGGCCGAGGAGATCATCTCGAATGCCGCCAGCTCGATCAATGTGCTGACGGAGCGGGACTCGGTCATGCCCCCGAACTCGGGCTACCACTGTTCGCTGTTCGCGAACTATACGCTCGATGGCATCAAGGCCGTTCTGCTCTTTTCGATGTCTTCGAAAACAGGGGGACCATGTGCTCAGTGGGACTCCTACGCGAGTCGGGCGCTATCGCACCCGGCTTTCCAGCCCTTCACTTGGCCGGTGATGTTCGACACCTCGGCCACCTATGTGGATGTGAAGGTCTTCAATGGAAACGAGGTCCTATTCCATTGGGTCTTCAGGGGCTACCGCTCGGACTCGGATCTTTCTGTCCAGCAGCAGTTCTGCGACGAGGTGTTGATCCGGTCAGCCAACGAAGGATGGTTCCGACCCTCGATCGTCATCTCGGTCTTCGTTGGATGGAAGGTCTCCGTGACCTCGTTCGAGGTTGGAGCCCGAGTCTACACGATCGGCCCGAGAGGAGCAGTGATGGCGAGCGACCATGCCATGAGCACCTGTGAGCTCAGGGTGACAGAACGCTCGTCCCGAGAAGGCTATGGGAACGACGCCGATCGTGTTGAGTTTCGGTTCCGGGACGCCAATAACCGGATCGATCTCAAGTGCGGGAGGACTTCGGTGCCTGGCACGTGGCTCACAGTCAGCCACATCTCGGGCCCCGCTCTGATCAGCACGATCCAGGCCTGTCGGACCCAGCGTGCTCGCGTGGAAGGTCCAGACCACATCCAGCAGTTCGCGCAGCTGTCTGCGGTGATCGCCCCCTGGTACCACAGTGCGTTCGCCCACGAACAGGTGCAAGTGGGAACTGCGACAGACGAGTTCCCGATGGATCATGGGAACTTCCACGTACGGGCTAGATCTAAGCTCAGGGTCTGCCCACTGGAGTTCGTCCGGCAGGAGGCGCTCGCCCACCGGTCGCACGATGAGAACAACGCCGTTCGAGCTCGGAACGGCCCCCCGGCTCTCATGGAAGAGGCGGCTCGGCAGGCGGTTCAGCAGCTGGGCTCCTCGGTCACTTCGGCGCTCACCAACATGCCCACCTCGGCTCAGCAGGTGTTCGACCAGAGGGTGAGCACTGTTCCGGTGCCGGAGGAGGGCCAGCTCGGCCAGGAGCAGATCGCCGAGGAGGTCGTCACCGATGCCCGCGATCGCATGAGGGCCGACATGCGATTCTCGCGCACGTCGGCTGCGATCACGCCTCAGGTTTTCACCGACGTGCTCCAGCACCGTGAGCAGGCGGAGTACGAGCGGATCAGCACGGTCAGGGTGGAGGAGACGGGCCAAGAGATCACGGCTTCCCCCTCCACTACGACCACGGTGCCGAAGGCGTTCGCCCCGGCTTACCCGCCGGCCAGATCGTCAACGGGGCCCTACACGATGGACAATACGGAGTAGTTGTCGATCGAAGCCTAGGTGATGGTCGGTTTTTGTGCACGCTCCTAAGAGAGTGGTGCGCCGCGCGACCGAAGCCTCCTGGCGGATCAGCCGGGCTCTTCCGCGGAACAAACATGCCGAGCGATCCTCTCGGCGCGCTAGATCCCAGCGCATGTTCTGCCGGAAGTGAGATTGATCAATACCTGTCTCAGGCACGGCGCTCGGTTACCATTAGCAGGCACGTGCGATCGTTCGTGCAGCTGTTCAGGCCCAGCATGGATAGGTCCGTTCGGAAGATCCTATCCCTCCCCCTGTTCGGGGATGAATTTTGCCAATGGTTGGTGGATCTTCGGATGGCTCAGTTCGAGAAGCTCACGGCTGTTTCGGACGGGACGATCGCTGAGTGTGTGCAAGCATTCATTGATCTTGTCCCTGCCCTCGAGGAACTCCACACGCCAGATCGGCGGAAGAACGAGGAGGAGCTCGGCAGGTGGGTTCCGTCGATCGAGCTGTTGTTTGTGCTGGTTCGTAGCACGGCAGCAGCGGGCTGGGCTGATCTGGCCACTGATCTGGGATTCGGCTTGGCTGAAGCTCCGGTCGTCTTCGGGCGATCGCCACTGAAGTCGAAGGGGACTGGCAAGGAGCCTCCTATGCCATTGCCGCTCGCCAAGAGGCCGCGGGCGATCGAGCCGAGGCCTGAAGATCCGCAGGCATCGCTCAAAACCCGTGAGCTCGGCGAGGCCCGAAAGTGGGGCATGAGGCTGAAAGCGATCGTGGAGAGGTGCGGCGAGCACGCCGCGATCGCGGGCAACCCGAAGCCGGGATCACCCCTGTCCCAAGATGAGATGAATGCATTGAGGTTGATCGTCTTCGAGAGTGGCGGTTTCCGCACTATCCAGCAGTGCGTTCGTCACTGGGAGAGGATTGAGACTTGGGCGAGGTCGCAGAACCTAGCGGTGATCCCGCTGACTACCGACGTGCTCGTCAAGTACCTCTTAGATCTCTCCGACCGAGGTTGCGGCCCCACCGTGATACCTTCGGTACGTGGGGCGGTCAAATGGATCTGCAAGCGGATCGGCTTGTCGTTGCCCGACCTCCTCGATCCCCGGATCATGGCCTTGCAGAAGAAGGTCTATGGCGATCGCGGGAAAGAGACGAGGGAAGCGGTTCCCATCCCTCTGATCTTGGTGGCGGCGCTCGAGCGGTTCGTGTGCGCTCGTTTTAAGTCGAGCCAATTCCCCATGGCGTTCTTCGCATGGTGGGTTCTCGTGATGATCTACTCGTCCCTCAGGTTCGACGACGCGCTCCACGTCGTGCCCGAGGCGCTCGCCCTGAAGGACGAGGCTCTCTATGGGGTGGTTTGGCAGACTAAGGTCGAGCGACAAAAGAAGGGAACGCGGTTCGCGGCGGCCAGAGTCTCCGTCTCCGGATCCGACTGGATGGAAGACGGATGGCACGCAGCTGCGTTCGAAATGGACGATCGCGACTACTTCATGAAAGAGCTCGAATCGGCTGAGCGATTCGCCGATCGGCCTGCCAGCTACCAACGGAGCATCCTGTGGCTGCGGTACGTGCTCACTACTGCAGCTTCGGACGATCTGAAGCGCGGGCACATCTCGCCCGAGCGGCTCAAGGAGCTCCTGAAGATCGTGCCGGAGATCACCTGGCACTCCTGCCGGGTCACGCTGCTCTCGGCGGCGGTCCAGGCGCAGGAGCCCGATAAAGAGATCGGGCTCCAAGCGAACTGGAAGGATCCAAGCCAGCTGGTCCTGAAGTACGCTCGGAGCCGCAAAGAGATCTCGATCGAGATGGTCAAGCGGCTCACGAAGAGGATAGCATCCGACTGGAAATCTCCACCGGAGTTCGAGGCCGACGATACCAATCTGGTCGACTTCGGTGATCTCGCTCTGACCTATGTCACCAAGGCTAGATCGACTGCGGGGTCCTCAAGGGATCTGAGTCTTAAATATCATGCCATGTATATAGATGGTACGGGCGCGGAGCGAACGCTCTGCGGCCGGTACGCGATCACCGAGTGCGAGGATCTCGGTGAGATTCCGCCGAGTACTCAGATGTGCTCGTTGTGTTCCGGTAAGATCTTTACGGAGCCGTGAACACAGCTGTTCGCAGTCACGATGGCCACTCGAGCTGAGCCTCTCCCTGACCGTAGCTTTTCTTTTCAGACAGCTCGTTAGGCAGCCATGGTCGATCGCACCGCATACGCGAATGAGGCGGCGACCCCGAAGCTGAACCTGCGCCAGATCTTCGGGAGACAGGGGCTAGATCCAGCCCTCTGCAGGCTCTCGGCCGACAAAGGTCTCCTCACAGTCGAGATGTTCGC